TATATATATATATATATATATATATATATATATATATATATATATATATAATTATATATATATAGTAGTCTGAAATTGTCATAGGTCCATGTCCAAAAAAAATAGGAAATCAATGTATGAATTTTTAACTATTCATTTGTAGATGTAAACCACTTTTTGAATGGAGCAATCCTCCATCTTGTCTCTGCTCTTTAACCTCTACTTATAGAGCAGAGATAGAGGTAGGATCCAGCCGGTTGGCTGACAACAAGATGCGGCGGGCGCTGCCCAGAGTGTCTCAAAAGCTGCAGCCCTGGAGAACAAGCAGGAGTCAGATGCCAGGTCAGGCAAACAGATCAGAACAGGAAGGCACAGATTTCCAGGAGTCCGAAGCCAGGTCATGTAAACCGATCAGGACAGGGAGTCTCAGAGTTCCAGGAGGCTGAAGCCATCACTTCCATGCTGCCTTCCTGACCTTTTATAAACACATTAAAGGTTGATGTGATTTTAAGTATAATTTTGGAACTCCATAAGGTTTTAAAGGGATATTATAAGGAAAGTGAGGGAAATTAAAAAAACAGGTATAAAAATGTGCCATGACTTCTCCTTTGAATCATTGCTCACCACTTTTAATGCATTTTTTTCACAGCAAGTTCCAATGTTGTCATGTAAATTTTAAGTGTCTTCTATTATTATATTCAGTCTTTGCTAATATTTTTCCCCCTATTCTGTCTTTCAGATCTTGGCCATCATCTCAATTCTCTTCATTGTGCTATCTACCATTGCACTGTCTCTAAACACTCTACCAGAGCTGCAGGGCACCGATGAGTTTGGCCAGTCGACTGACAACCCACAGCTAGCACATGTGGAAGCTGTTTGTATTGCCTGGTTTACCATGGAATACCTGCTTCGTTTTCTGTCCTCTCCAAACAAATGGAAGTTCTTCAAGGGTCCCCTCAATGTCATTGACCTGCTGGCAATTCTGCCTTACTATGTCACCATCTTCTTAACAGAATCCAACAAGAGTGTTCTGCAGTTTCAGAACGTCCGCCGTGTGGTTCAGATTTTTAGGATTATGCGTATCCTTCGTATCCTGAAGTTAGCTCGTCACTCTACAGGTCTTCAGTCACTGGGCTTTACACTAAGGAGGAGCTACAATGAGCTGGGCCTGCTTATTCTTTTTCTGGCCATGGGTATCATGATCTTCTCTAGTCTTGTGTTTTTTGCTGAGAAAGACGAAGAAGATACAAAGTTCAAAAGCATTCCAGCTTCCTTCTGGTGGGCCACCATCACCATGACCACAGTAGGGTATGGAGATATCTATCCCAAAACGCTCTTGGGAAAGATTGTGGGGGGGTTGTGCTGTATTGCTGGAGTCCTTGTAATTGCCCTACCAATTCCTATTATTGTAAATAACTTCTCTGAATTCTATAAGGAGCAGAAAAGGCAAGAAAAGGCCCTGAAAAGAAGGGAAGCTCTTGAGAGGGCAAAAAGAAATGGTAGCATTGTTTCTATGAACTTAAAAGAGGCTTTTGCTCGTAGCGCAGAACTCATGGACGTAGTGGTAGAAAAGACGGAGCGACCTCATGATAACCACCTATCTCCAAGTCACTGGAAATGGGCGTCGAGAAGAGCTACATCAGAGACAAGTTCAAACCGTTCTTTTAACGCCCAAGAGATAGGCTCGCCCTGCAAAAATCGAGACACCAGTCCCCAAAGACTAAATGTTGAAAAACTAGAAGAGATGTATAGCCAAATGGCAAAGACACAGTCACAACCCAACCTCAATGCAAAAGAAAGAGGGTCCAAAATGAGCAAACAGAGGGATGAGATAGAGCTTGGAGCCATTCATGACCATGGACCATCAGTCCTCGGAACCAAAGATGGAGTTGGGGACATGAAAAGCTTATCCAGCATTGATAGCTACATCAGTTGTGCTACAGACTTTCAAGAGAATCCACGCTATCCCCACAGTCCAGCACCAGACATTGGTCTTAAAGAAGGTAACCGCTTTAATTTTGGTCCAGTTACAGTTTTTTCTCAGCACATTTGTAAAAAGGTTGGCCAGCAAATCAAAGGGCAGCATGAGTCTGTGCCAAGTCCAACATCAAAGTCCTCTGGCCCAGAGAATACAAGAAGATTTTTCTTTTCTGGAAACTCCTCAAAAAGCCTTAAAGGAGGCTGCCGTAGCGATGGGGATTCTGGGCTTTCCCCACTTTCAGACAGCTCTGTTGTTTCAGACCAATCTCTGTTGAGCCCCGAAGCATCTGTGTACACCACTGCCAGCAGCAGGACGCCCCCAAAGTCACCAGAGAGTGCTGCCATGGCTCCAACAGTCTTCACTTTTCATGACTCGTCAATCAGCAAATACATTGATGCTGATACAGATGATGATGAACACCTCCGGGACATCACTGAGGCAAGTCCCTCAGATCGTCTGCTTGCTGCTGGCAGCCCAAAACGCAGTATTAACATAAATTACCAGAGAGGAACTAACCATTTAGAGGCAGCCCAAAAGATGTTGGGCCAGAACTGCTACTTTCCTCTTGAAGGTATTCGTGGAAAAGCTCATGAAAATCATATAGGTCCTGACCCAGCACGTAGACCAAAGGCTGAGCGAGGACGGCAAAATACCGTGGACAAAAGCCTTTGAAGCATAAGTTATCAGAGACATGTGAAAAGCTGTCAAACAAACTTCTAATGTCAAATAAAGGAGAGACAAAGAAAGGCAAAGAGAAAAAGGCTCTCTTATTTGCAAATAACCTGAGCGTGCAATTAGAGCAACAAGCTCTGGTTCGATACATGTTGGGAATACTTTGGAAGAAAAACACCTTAAGTTGGACAATGTCACTGCCCCTTCTTTCAGTTCATTCCTGTGTGCTGTGTTCCACACCCTCAAAAGTAAAGAACACCCCCAGGTAGCCATTGAATTAGTCAAATGAAGCGGAGTTAGAAGAGAGGTTTTACTTTGACTATCATAGAACAACAAAGTAACACAACAAAATAATATTTTTAGCTAAAGCTATTTTCTCCATTTCCCATTAAAAACAAAGTCCACCTTCTTGTATTGACTGCCAATAGACATTTTTTTTACTCTTGGAGACCTACCAGGGGACCTAGAAGCCTATAAGCTACATATTGTGCCCTCCATTCTCAAACCTGGCCTTAATCATTTACATTTGTAAGAATGTGAGTGAGACAATTTGAATATGAATGGGTGAATTATGAGAAACTGATATAAAGAAAAATCTTAAAAACGGTCTAACCTGATTTATTTTTTTATAGATAAGAGTCACTATATGGAAGTTATTTTTTAGTCTACCATGTCAGATTTCTATGTCATACGTGGGGTTTAGTGTCTGCAGTTGCAAATCATTTTTCATTACATGGGCCACCCTCTATTAAGCATCTGTCCTACTATCCTTTAGGGTAACATGTCTAAAAAATGGTTGAAAACAGAGTATCTGCCACAGAAAGGATTTTCGCAGTACCTCTGTAGTTTGTTTCATAATAATAAAAAATGGGTCTTGGGTTTTAGTTATGAGTTTAAAGTAAAATGAGAAATGCACATAAAATGCACACTGATCGCATATCCAGGAACCTACAACGTAGAAAATACATGAATTGGCTGGGAAAATGGTTGAAGAAAACATTAAAGGAGACATTTCTAGAGGTATTTTGTGAATTACTGACTTACTAGATGAATGGACAGGTTCTCAGCAAGTGTTGGCCTTGATATGACTAACAAAGTTTTAAATAGCTGAATAATATACAAAACTTTGGCTTTTCTTTGTTTCACCTATGTTTTTAAAGGGATCAACTCTATTAGCACTGACTATATACAAGGATTATTTTTACAGTATTTATAAAGTATTGTCAGTGTGGATCCACCAAACACACAAATGCACGCACACACAAACCTGTTGAAGATTGATATAAGCTTTATAGATACTATTATTTTCCATGGTGACAGGAGTTGACAAAAGTATATTTTAAGAGCAAAGCAAAGACTTGTTATTTAGGGTTGGATGTTTGCATGTCACATGTGCTCTTAGGCATATATAAAAATCCTCACTGATAAAAGACATGTACTTATAATATGGAAGGTATCTATGATAGTTGCATGTCAAAATCACTCCTCACTCATATAAACACTATGTCATTGCAAATGTGTGCTAGAAGCCTATAAAATTAGAATAAAAACTCCATATCCACCATTTTTATATCTTTATATCATGTCTTCAAAAATTTAGTTAACTCTCCACTACCTGTTTACACTTTCATGTTTAGCAATGTCCTGTTTGGCATTGGGGAAAAAGTGCTGACCCCTCCTGTGTCAAAACTTTACCAGAGTAAATACAGAAAAGCTCTTTTCAAGTGATAATTTGCTTTTTCCCCTATTTTAACCTATACAATTCCTGCAATTGACCACAATGTTTATTTGATAAAAACATTTTTTAAGTCAACCTCATAGCTGATTATGATTAGAATTATAAATAAATAATAAAAAAATAACACTTCAATAGTATATCTTACAACATAAAGTGTAAAAAAAAATATGTTGTAATACAGTTAAGAGGTTAGTTTGAAGGAGGCACTCATGCTCAAACCTTACAATGTTTTGGAATAAAACATCACTGTAAAGAAGAGTGGCTCAAATTTCCTTCACATTGATGTCAAAGATTCATTGCCACCTAAAGCAAACACTTTGCACAGCCAGCTCCTAGGTTTATGTGGGAATTAGTTTTCCATTAAGGGCAAAGTTGGATTTGATGTTTTTGTCCTTTAAGGAAAAAATATCATTTGAATACAGCATTTTGTATTTACTCAGGTTTATTTGTTTGATATTGAAGTTCTTTGATCTGAAACATTTAAGTGTGGCTGGAAAAAAAATCATAAAATAAATGATTTTCCACAACAGAGTAACATGAGAAGAGAAACAATCCTAAGTCACAGTGTATAATTCACTAAAGCACATAAATGTCAAATCTTTAATCCAAACCTTTGTACATTTTTTGCCTCTTATCTGCTCCATAATGGTGTGTGGCTCACATAGCAAATACCAGTTATGGCAAACAAGCCCCCATTTGCCAGTCAAGTTTTACAGATGCATCATCTTCCCCAATCTATGACGATTGTGGTACAGTACATACAAACACACAGGGCACAAAATAAAGAGGCAGAATCAACACATTTAACTGAATTACCCAAAACAGAAATCTTTTTTAGGTATATTCATGATCTAAAATTTGATGTAGCTTCATACTGAGCATAACTGTTTTTCCTTTTTTTTTCTGTTTAATGTAAAGAGGCTCTATCATTCATAACCATGACTAAGTGCTGGTTGCTACACTCACTCATCTTGCAGCTAGCTCCAGGTCAGTACTCCCCAACCACATTATGCAATGTGAACCAACCGTTATATATCTTTTGGAGCATTCTATAATCAACTTCTGTACAGTTTACAATTCAAACATAGATTCCAGAAATAATTGGGAACTGTAGGAGACAAAGATCATTAGAAAATAGGATAAAATGTTGCAACTTTGGCTTGTTTTATATGCAGTTCATTAGGCTGCACACACTTTTTTCAAGTTTTCAATAATGTAAATACCATCAGCTCTCATATAACATCCATATTTAATGGTGATGTTTCACAAGTCCTTCAAAATCAGTTGTTTTTAGTTGCTGTTGTGATAAACTTTTCATCCAAATGACTGCCTAAATCCATCAGATAATATGTCAAAACTGCTCAGGACATGGTAATGCTATTTGATTGACAAGGAATATATTTACAACTTAACCTTCACTAAAGTAAAAGATTAATTAGTATGTAAATCAAATTCCACATAGGTAAAAAAGGTAATAAAAAATCTAACATCTATTGGGTGCCTGATATTTCTAAAACTTCTATTAAAACACATAACTAAGGAACATTTAATCTTTTATTTTCAGGGACTTGTCAAGCCAATGCCACCACAGTAGCTTCATACAGTTAGGTTATGCATATTAGATTGTTTTCCTTTTAACTTTTTCTGCCTTTTATGTCTCCTTGTATCACATCAAGTTAATGGGAACTAAAATGTTTGTATTTAAGGATCTTAATAATTTTCAGACCCAAATCAACTGATAAAAACATAAGTAAAGAAGCCATTGAACAAAAATGAATGTAGCTTTTTATACAATTAATTGATTTAGCAAACAGATTATTACAGATTTAGTTATAGTTTTCATCTTGTGGTAAAGGTGCAATCACAAATCCAGATACTGTTTCTAGTTTTAATCACAGAGTTGGAGCATTTCATATTGCTCTCCCTTAGTGAGAGGAGCTGAGGTGTGAAAAGAATAGCAATGACTGTGAGGAGCAGAGGGGAGCTGAGCTTGTTTGTGTGTGTGTTACCGCTGGGAAGCATTAAAGCAGCAAGGGTGCTGCTTAATGGAAAAGAATGAACTGTTTTCGATGGGAATATGTGTGCTTGTTGCTGGAGTCCTGTTATGTTTTCCTTTCCCCAAGCACATGCACTACTACCAAGAGAAATATATGGAGGAAAAATAGAGAAACTATTATACTACCATAAGGTAGACATTTTTCATATTGAAAATAACATATGATAATTACAAAAACCTACTAAACAATTCAACCTGTATTACAGCATATTGTCTTTTTAGAAGTGAAAATAAATACACAGTTATTTTAACAATAGCACATATACTGCCAAAATATTAAATTACATTATTTAAGACAAATCCATAAGCATCATACTTGTTCACAACCGCAAAATAACTGATGGATGGTATTTGACATTATGATTTTAAAGTTTTTTTTTTTATTTTTTTTAAAGATAATCAATTATAACAGAAGTCCAATGTTTTTATTATGTCTCTAAAAGTTATTCCCTAAGGGGAAAAGACATGGCAGTGGGAAATGTACTTTAGATCTGTCAATCTAACATAAAACAAAATACATTTTCAGATAAATGGCATCCAGTTCATATAATTCCTCCTGAAGCATCCCTTGATCTTTTCAGTTTGCTTTTCTATACGACAGTACAGTCAGGGATCATTGATGCTGAAATATCTCTTTACAACGATGACAATCAATATTTCATTAAAAAGGCAGCAGACACTACTTTAGAGAACTGCAACTAATTTTGGAGATATGAAGCAGAAATTTACAGCCATGCACAAACATACTCTTGTTACAATAATTTCCCAAATCTGAACTATGTTAAAACTTTAAAGCTTTTTAGACAATAAAACATTTAGCAACATTTTTGATTTGATATTTAGACTGTGATACTGTGACACCCCACAGACGTATTTCCACAAGTCACAATGTATGTCTTTCCAATTTGTCTGTGTTACGTGTTGTTTTTTTTCATTTACTAAATGGTTCATTTTGTAATTGTTTGAAATTGTTAAATGGGGTTATGTGGAATAGTTATCAGCAGTTTGTATCTTACATTATGTAGTAGACTGTTCTCAAAATGCTGCTTGTTTAGATAAAGAGCGATTAGTCTTGTCTGGAAAATAAAGAAAACTGTGTGCTCAGTTTCCAAAATACAAATACAGTTTGGTTTCGTAAAGCACATTTTTTCATTGCCAGTCCTCACCTTTATCAGCTTGAAAATCTTTAAATTATGCTTTTTTTTATTAGAATGGCCATCTTATTCAATTTAGTTGGATAGAGTCAATTCAGAGCAAATGTTATGTTAGAACACTTGATAGTATAAAATACATTCAATTTAAATCTGATCATATCAAAATCTATATAAAAATCTATATATATATATTTTTTTTATTAATATAGTACAATCTAATTCACACAGTCTTGACTTTCCAGCAATCTCTATCCCTGAGCAATTTTTTGGGACACTGTAAAAAACAACTTTATAATAGGAAACATGCTGCTGGCTCAGTTTGAGTGACTTTTAGCATAAGAATCTATGGGAATTCACCTAAAGATCAGCCCATAATCTCTTACCAGTTTAAAATACTGGTTACAGAGCAGAAAGCGTATAACTTAACTAGACATAGAATAAGAGTTCAGAGTTATGGTCATTTTCCATAAGTGCTTACACTCCCTGGTATGGGTTGGCTCTTTTTTTATGATTTTCCTGTAGTAATGGTTAAGTGGAACCATTGCTAGTTTTTGTACCTGTTTGCATAAAAGCATAAATAGTTAAATGAATTTTTTTTAACAATTACATCACGTTACACTGGGCTTATTGTGTATATGACCAAAATATCAAGCCAACATTAAGTAAACTCATCTAGCTCTTATTCTTGATGGCTTCCCTTTCTGTCTTGTGCTTATCCAGAATCCATCCTCTGGCATCTGCAGCCTCTACAGTTCTCTCCTTTTGCTGTAAGTTTGATTAAAAGCCATAAATGGTGCAGAAGGGCCTCCGTTGTTGCCTTGTATTTGTGTAACATATGGACAGTGAAGCCATCTTGCTATGAATAGCTTATTCACATTGTTGCAGTACCCACATACCTGTGGACAGAACGGTAAATCGAAATGAAACAAGGCAAATAGAGTTACAACCATTGGAAATGGGCCATAAGTCTAAAAATCAAAACAAAAATGTTCAAATGAGTGGCTAGAGACATTTAATCATTAGAACCCATGCTTATAGAATATTAGTCTTATTTGAGCCATAGAGTTTTGGGAGTTGTTTTAAGAGAAAAGGAATCCACTTTGGTTGGGTCTTTGGGAACAGTAAAAACAAATATGTTTATTTGGGTTTGATGCTAACAGCTTCCCACTGTCCACAAAACCCTGTTTAAATTCAAACAGTGTCTTTAAAGCATGTCAGTATGCTTGACTTTTTAAACAGGAGCAGTATCAAAATTAACAGTACAGAGCATCTTTTAATTCAGTCATCTCATTGTAGAGATATTTTGTTCAAATTAAAATACCTACTCATATTTTCTGTATTATTTATTTAATAAACACATTTTATGAAGAGCACAGGTTCTTTTATAATAACCACAACCTCAACTGTCTTATACGACTTTCATGTGTACAGATAAATTCATTAAGTTAAAATCTAAAGTGTAATTAGGATGTTAGCTGCTATCTTTCACAGTTAAAAACCTTAAGTCTTTTCACACCTATTTGATGGAACCCCACAGGCCCTCTAAAAAGCATGTGGTATTTTTAAAAACCCTATGAAGATTGTTGCTTTTGTATAAGCAGGTTAATTCTGCACACACTGAATCTAACACTGTATTACAGGGTTGGGGTCGATTCAGAATACCTTGATGGATTACAGTTATCACAAATAACACTACAGAAATAATTATCAGAGAATTAGAGTACAGATAAAATTAATAGGACACAACGTTAGATATATATATTTTCTAATTTAATTTCTTAGTGGAATTGACCCCAACCTTGCCTAAGCCATCAGTCTTTGTAAAGTGCACACTGTTTCCAGGGAATCAAATAGAAAATAAGATATTTGAATGACCTTAGCCAGCTCTTATACAATGTTGTTTGTAGGTCTCCAGGCTGTCTGTTTTGTAAAAGAAAAAGAAAACACATATAACATTTTTACCCATTGACTTTCTATGCTGTTGTTTATGTATAAATGTTCTACTGTTCAGTGCATGTTGTAACTTTGGCGTTGTGACTGGTTGTGATTCACACAGAGCCAGTACCTGTCATGTACAAAAAAAAGTGTCTGAATGTCCTAAGATATTTCTATTTCTTAAGAAAAAGCATAATTTCCCTTGAATGACTCAAAATGAAATAAATCGAATCACTTTACAGTTTGATTTTTGTTTTCTTTAATCTCATTGCAATGCTTATTACACATTGTTAAGACAGCGGAAGTCCATATAAACTGTAAAACTCCCTGCATAATTATAATAAAACAATTGATAT